ATTTTTCACACACACACACACACACACACACACACACACACACACACACACACACACACACACACACACACTCACCCTGAGTACACCATGTACTGTATCAGTCTCTCATTCACACAATGAAATTCCTTTACACATTGCAATGTATTGCACGAACAATTCTAGTAGCCAGAGTAAAGCTTGAATGCATAAAACACATATCTGGAGAATCATACACACATCAGTAGGCTGAAACACACAGCCATAGCTGTCAGGCACACATATTTGCAACCCCTGTATGACTGACAGCTTGTCTCCTGTGTGCTCTGTGGCCAATCTATTACTATTAATGCATGTTTAGGGTAGACAGGGATCCAACTGTCACAAATACTGCCTCCGACTCTTTCAAAAAGAAGAAAAAGCTCCCTTGAATAGAAAACCACAAATGATGAGTAACATGTAACTTGTTACAATGTCCTGTGTTCTGTTCTTTCTTTTTTAGGGCCTGCACTCAGCTAATGCAAATTTAGACAGTTAGACTCAACATTGCAGCCCAGATCTTCTCTCTCTGCCGTCCCTGTGCCCTGAACTTGCTCTTGGAAAGAGACAGTGGAATTGGTTGACCAAGGAAAGATCAAGAGAGTTGGTAGTAGGGTACTAGGTAGAAGAGTGGCAGCTGCTTTTATTACTCCCACCCACATGGGTCTCTAACCATATTTCCCAGGGTAGCCAGAACTTCAGGATGGGAGTCAGTCTCTAGCTTGCTGATCCCTGCTGGAGTCTCAAGCCAGTCTGCTCACGGTGATGCATTGTGTCCCATATCCAACCAATGGATGTAAAGAAGAAACAAAAACAAAAGCACCTGGTTCTTCCCTTAATGGGGGTGGGGCAGTAGAGGCAGGGGAAGGGGATGGCTGCCTTTCACTTGCTACCACTTGAGGAACTCCCGCACATGACTCCAGAGTTTGGTAAGCCAAAGGTTGACACCCAGGTCAGTCAAGTACTGGATCTCCGGGGTTAGCATCTTGCGGCACAGCTTTCGATGCTTTTTGTTGATCTTCTTCTTCAAGTTGTAGCCCAGGATTGATTTCTCCCCCAGTGGTTGCCATGGTTGCATGGACGACTCCTGGATAGCATTGGCATCCACTGGGTGGCCCCCATCAATGCATATGCTCTTCATCTTCTCATTCTTTTGCTGCAGCTCAGCCACATCCTTTGCCATCCGCTCCCGTCCATAGGCATCTACTTTGTGCCAAAAAGTGGTGTTGAAATAGCGATAAAGCTTTGCATCAATGAGGTTCCAGGAGGTGGCCTTCTCATAGAGCTCATTTGTCAGTTTGGAGACAGTGGAGTCCTTGCGGGCATTGAGCTTGAAGTAGAGGATGTCCTCCAGCTCCCAGCACAGAAGGTCCTTCAGCAGCACCAGAGACTCATCAAAGTACTCCAGCAGCATGACCAGATGAAAGCGCTGGTGTATCTCTTGGATGTACTCGTCCACCAGAGGGCTGTTGGCATTCATGTTGTTGTCATAGCCTAGATCAAAGAAGAGCAGGTTCAGGAGGTAGTGAGCATTGAACCCATTGGGGTCATAGTAATGCCAGGGGTCGCGGAGGAATTCTGCTAGCTTGTCTTCACCCAACAGCTTCCAGGTGAGGGGGATGACACGGCCAAAGTAGTGGAAGGAAGACTCAAAGAGGTAGGCAGGGTCCCGTAGCACTGTCAGGAAGATGGTGTCAGCAGGCAAGAGCTTGCGTACCTCCTGGTAGTGGAACCGCATATGGTTGCAGATGATGTTGAAGCACATGCCAGGGTGGTAGTCTTGCACTTGGCTCCGCTCAAAGTAGGATGGGTAGTAGAAGTCATTGCGGCCATTGGGGAATGCAAATTTAAGGCGGTGCTTCTCACCAAAGCGGAAGAGGATGTTGAGGATGGTACTGCTGGCTGTCTTGTGTGTCTTCATGAACATGACATCAAACTTTGGCTGGCATGCCTGGCCTGGGGAACTGTGGGTGCCATTTGCTGTGACTGGCACCCGGGCCTGGGTGGGGTAAGAAGAGCAGGAATAGGGGATAGGAATCCTGGAGGAAAGAAAACAAAAGGCACATCTGTAAGGGTTGGACCTACAGACTGGCTTTGCTCTCACACTACAGTCTCATTATGACTAACCACAAAGACCTTGCAGAGAATGGATGCACATTTCCAAGGGAATTCAGCTCTGGTGAGCTGGGCTGGCTTGATGGTCCTGAACAGGTATAGTCCAGAGAGTGTTATCACAAACTTCCTTGAATACCCTACCTCTTTCTACAGTGATCAGCTCCATGATGAAGAGCTGAAAATTTCCTTCAGTGTTTGTACAGGACCTTTCACTATAGTATGTGGCCCATTTAGCCCTTAGCCTTTTTGCTATCACTGCCAACAAGCACACTAATAGTGATGAGGCCACCTGCTGAACAGAAACTTGACAGATCAATACACTGTAATGCAGGCCACTGGATAGCCACCAGACAGTAATCACTTTAGTTATTACTGTCTTGGACTCAATTAGAAACAAAGGCGTAAATGTGAAAGGCTCACTCCCAATTCCTGAGGAAGACAGTTTCCACAGAACTAATAAACGTTGCACAAATGCAGTAAACTAAATTCTGCTTTTAGTTACAACCAAACTAAAGTCACAGTCATAGATGAAACTATTTGTTCATCTGTTCAGCTAATCCTACAGCCTTAGGCCAGCATCTGCCTTTGATGCTGCAGTAAAGCAAACTAATTACAGTCAAGTTAGAGGATTTCTCTGATGTTACTCCATCTCTACTGTGTAACAGGGATCAAAATCTGGCTCCTTCACTTTACCTCTCTTTACTTTGTGAAATCACAGTAGCTGACATTGTTTGATTTTATATCCTAGCTCTTCACCAATTTTAATCTGTAGATGGCAGCAGACTGTCACTTGAGTTTCATCATCTCCATACTTACTCACTGTTCATCTGTCTGTCTGTCTGTCTATCTTAAGAGTTTTATCCTGCTGCCCATCATTATAGTATTTGAATGCCTTCCACACAGAATCAACAGCAATAGCAAGATCCACAGGGAACTTCACAGAGCCTCTGAAACTTCTTCCTTTTGAGGTCACAACTCAATTTGGGATAGGAGTATTGTCACTAAAGGTTTGAGGATGGAAAAGGTAGTGACGTGGCCCCTGTAAACCCTGCGGACATAGCAATCTAATCTCTCCTCTTTCTACCAATTTGTTAGGGGATGGGGGTCTGGGTCTATGTCATGAAAGGAGTATTTCTCCCTGGGTTTGCAACAGTGTTTCTGATTGGATTTAATATACTTCTTCTACAGGCTCCTCCATTTACCCTAGGAATTGAAGGGGATTGTCTTCTGTGATTCTGCAGGAGCATGGAGGTTTAACCATTGCACACTTTCAGTGATATCCAAGTGCACTTTCCCTTTCCAGATCCCTTTCCATTAGAAAGATCCAGTACCTTGTACTGAGTACAAAGGATTTCCTGCAGAAAAAGATTTCATGAAGGCAAATCGCAGTAATAATCTTAAAATGCCCAAGGCTGGGGAGCACATTGCCATCAGCATATGTGATGGAAGGGGTTACCTCTTTGCTCTTGTAGGTATGGTTTGGACTCTGGTCTTCTATGAAATGAGACAGATAAGTCTCAATCCAGTTCCAGACCACAACTGTCTACATCCAATTGCCTCTACCATGACTGACATTAATAGCCCCTTTGTCAAGAACAACAGGACTACTTAGTGAGACTGGGCACTGAACTACTCAGTCCACAAAAACTGAACTCATTTTTTGCCCTTCCAGGAAGGGGCACTCTCAGAGTAGCATGGCTCATTACAAGCGTGGCTATGGGCAGATGCAGCAAAGCAAATCTCCCTTGCCCCACTGCTTTGCAAAAGGTGGGGTTCAACTTTGCTATGGAGGATCTATATTTAAGGGTAAGGGGAGCTCCATCTCCATGGCCTTTCTAGTCTCTTTCTTCAAGAACTATCAACAAGCTGTTTATAACATAGCAGCTTCATGTTTGCTACATATTTGGATACTGGATGTTGACTTTCACAGGCACTTTAGGGCTACATTTTATTTTGTATTATATGCACAGGCATGGCCATGGAACTGCAGGCTTTGATACCTGTGCACAGTTTGGGAGTCAGTTTTACCCTGCAGCCAAACAGAATCGCCTAGATACAAGATACACATCCTCTGGCTTATGCTTCTCCTTCTGGCTCCACATAACACCTCTTCTTAGCTGCTGGGGGGACCAGCTTCAAAAGGAGGGTTTGAAAAGGGTCTGGGTAGTGACTAGCATGTGACCTGGAAGTTAAAATATTTTTGTAGGAAGCAGGAAATGTAAATTCCAGCCCATCTCTGACCTTCTCAATCTAACACCTGGTAGTCATGATTCTTCTGCTGCAGCTGTAACTTTGGGACTTATGCAGCCTTATTCACATACCTGGGTGATCCCATTTTGCAGTGAGCTGCCCAGCCAGAGCACAGCCCCATTGAGCATAATCAATGGGTGTGTGCAGGCTTGTGTACCTGGACCTGAACTACAAACTGCATGCACATGCCAAAACTGTAATTTTGTGGCTGAGTATATGCCACTTAGACTCATAAAGGAAAATAGGATTTTGCTCTTACTGTGATTTGGTATGAGATGGACTGCAAGGAAAAACAAGCAGCAAGAAAAACTTGCTCAAGATAAGCTAGCCTTTGAAAAGCACTTACAAATTACTGTAAGATAATGCTGAAATGAACAAGACCCCAGAAGACAAAATGATCAAAAGGACTGTAACAGTTTAAAAAGGGACCTTGTCAAGATAGAAACACCTATTTGCTTGGGATATCTTCAGGGATCAGAACAATGACCAATGACTAAAGTCATTGAAGAAGCTGGGCATAGCTAGGTCCCTACTGCCAGACTGGTATCTTTCTTTCGGTAAGATGGGCATGAGCATGGACTGTTTGTTGCTTTAAAATCTTTTTTTCTCTAAATCAGTGATTCTCAATATTAGCACTATTAGGGGTGTAGACTAGGGGTGTGAGAAGCAGGCCGTATTCAATTCACATCAGATTTGGCCTGAATCAGGGACAGTGATTCAATTAGTTGATTCGGATCACTGTCTCTGATTTGATTTGGCTGAATCCGAATCTGAAGATTTGATGCTGATTCAGAGAATCAGCAATTTGGACACAGAGACAGCTTTAAATGTTTTTTCTACATACCTCGAGGTAGCAGATATGTAGTCCCCTGGCTCAGCGATCGGCCACAGAGGGACCCCAGGTGTCCCCCCCCAGACCCAGGAAGCACCAGTTGCCGAGCTGGGTTGGGGTGCAGGAGGGGCCCCCACGTGGTCTCCGGCAGACCTGGAAGTGGACTGGAAGTGCTTCTGGTCCACTTCTGGGTCTGCAGCTGAGCCCTCCTGTGCTCCTGTGGGACACTCCATGTGCCCCAGCATTGCAGCATTCACAAGCCGCCTGCTACCTAGAGGTATGTAAAAAAACCATTTAAAGCTGTGTCTATGTCCAAATCTCCGAATCTTTCCAAATCTCTCCAAACTGCTTCAGAGGGTTCCAATTCGATTCGGAGAGTTTAAATGGTCCTCTGATTTGATTCGGATTAGGAGATTTGGCTATCAAATCGAATCAGGGACCAAAGCTTCACACAGCCCTACTGCAGACACCTACACATTATAAACCCAGAGATTTCAAAGGGGAATCCAGAGTGTCAAAAACATTCTGATCTGTTGTGGTGTTTTTTCGCAACAGATGAAAAGGTTGAGAGCCACTATTCAAAAGGTTTAGCTCCCACAGCTAAAATAAATCATATTTTTGTTTGGGATACCTTAGTCACTGCATTCAGCACTGGTCTCAGACTCTCAGGACACATTCAGACGAGCATGGCCATGCAGTATGTGGTGCTGCAAACACATCTGCAGCACCACATACCACACAGTCAGGTATTCTCTGCACTGCAAGGGTGTGCTGCCTGTGTGTGTGCTGCTCCATTTTTTTCCGTGCGTTTTTTTGACCCCTGGATATCCAGGGGTCAAAAAAACCTGTGGAAAAACAGGCGGAGCAGCACACGAACAGGCAGCATGTGCTGCTGAAAAACAGAGCCAGGCTGCCTGGAGCTGCACTGCAGCTGCTAGCCAGGTTCCACCTGGGAGGATCACTGCTGCTGCAGCCCTGGGAGGCCCCCAGGACCCCTGTAAGGCTGCTGGGACCAGCTCAGTGCTAGCCCTAGTCTCCCCTACTGCCCCTGGGGTAATTTGACACATACCAAAGCACACATGGGGATAAGTAGCTGTAGTGCAAGGTGCGCCGCTGCTACTTGAACCCAGGGAATGAAATGTCTGCGCTCATCTGGCCATGGCTTCAAAGGCAGAAGGTAAGGAAGGTAACATCTTAGTCTCTAAAGTAGTGGTTCTCAAAATTTTTAGACTCAAGGAACCACTGGCTAGATTCAGGGCACCTCTCAGAAAATGCTAGCTCTTAGTTTTCACTCATTTCTTGATTATGGAAAAATAATAGAGCAATTCTTCTATTGCAAAGAATTCAGAAAGACCACAATGGGTCAGAATGCTTTTGGCACTATGGACTCCTATTTAAAAACTCTGGGTTTAACTTATGAATTATGCGCATATCTAACAGTGCTAATGTTGCATGGCACCCCAGTGCACCCTTAAAAGAATCTCATGGCACCCTGGTTTCCTGAGTTTTCTGATAGTGGGAAAACTGTGTACTTTCACCACAGACGGCATGAAAGGGCATGGCCTGACACCGGGAGTGCAGGCAGAGAGACCAAGAAGACAGAGGGACAATTAGCCCTGAAGTTGTGATGCTTGCTTTGTGACATTCACATGTGTCCATTAGAAAGTGGACATAGCACCCCCCCCCCGCAATTCATTTCACACAGGCCATGAACAACCATCAGATAGTTACAACTTTAATTCTTGGGCTGAATCAACATAGGATCACTCAGTTACATTGTAGAAAAAGATTCTGGCCACATTTGCCAGCCCCTCATGCCAGCCCTTCTCTCAGCCTCACAAATCCTTTTGGCCTCAGCAAGAACATTCTTACGGGTGAGGACCACCTTTGCTGTGTTCCATCCTGAAGAAAGCATTTCTGCATCAGTTTGGTATGTCTTGAGGACAAGCTGTTCTAGTGGAAGAACAGATATGGACTCACTCTGTCATGCTGACTTGCAGAGGCGGAATGGCATAGGAGTATAGCAGCAGCATGAAGCTGGTCAGGAGGGTTCCCAGGACAAGTCCCTTACACATGGACCTCCAGTGTTTCTTCTGGTGCAGCATCATGGTCACCTGCAAGTCCCAAAGAGAAGTGAAGTTAGCATGGCAAGCAGAGAAGCCTTCAGTAGCAACCTTGTCATCTGCGCAGAGACAGACTGACTGACTGACTGAGAGTATGGGAGAGGGAGAAGCGAACAGGAAAAGGACAAAGGAAATGTGGGTGGATAAATGACAATGAGGCTTAAAACACCCCTGGGAATAAAAGCTGTGGAGGTCTGATGCTGCTAGTCTGGTTCCACAAGTGAAAACAGTACTGTACACAAACATAGAAAGAGGAGTTTCCAGAACTGAGGAGTCCACAAGCTGGTTCAAAGAGGCAGAGCGCAACCCTGCCACTTAAGGGTGGAAACAGACATTGCCTTTCTTCACCTTTGTGCCATCATAATTTTTTTTATAGCAGCACAAAGGGCAAGCTAATAGACATCTGTTGTCATGCCACAAATGCCCAAAATTTGTGGCCATGACAGAAACGGTAACAGACTGTGCTGCTTTATTGCAGCAGACACCTGTTTGCTTGGCAGTGGGGAATATGGGCAGCCAGAGCCTGATCCTGCACACAACCCCTCCTGGGAATTCCTGAGCAGGATCAGGCCCCTCAAGCCCCTGGAGTGCCTGTCCACCTTTCCTCTTTTACAGAGATGTGCCCTGGGAAATCCTGGGAAGTGTCTCAGTAAGCAGGGAAAGCCAGGGCTTCCCTGCTTATGGAGACACATCCCTGGGATCTCCCAGGCATCTCTCCATAAGTGAGGAAAACCCAGGGTTCCCTGTTTAAAGAGATACATCTGGGAGACCCTGGGGGTATCTCTCTTTAAGTGGGGAAAGCCTGGGGTTCCCCCGTTCTGGAGATAGGCCCCTGAGGGCATGGGGTGATGCAGGAACTGAGGAATTCCTGAAGCTCCATGTTGGGACTTGTGCTGGGTCCTGTGCTGAGCCGTGTTTCCTGCAGAGGCTGGGACCTGCACTGACCTGTTCCTCTACATGAAGCATGGGTCAGTGCAGGTCCTGGTGTGGAGGTACGGGTGCTGGGGATTCTCCAGTTCCTGTGCCACTCCATGCCTCTGCACCATCCTGTGCTGACCCATGCCTCCATGTGAAACATGGGTTGGCACAGCATCCGGTGCAGGTCCTAGCATGGAGGCAGAGGTGCCAGGAATTCCTTGCCTTCCACACCACCCTTTGCCTCCTTGCCAAGATCCATGCTGACCTGTGCTTCATGCAGAAGGATGGTCGGCATGGGTCCCAGCAAGGAGATGTGGGGCAGCAAGTAAGGTGGGGAATCCCCTGGCAAGGGGAACAGATTGCCCCTTGTCCTGCATCAGACCCCTGCCTGATGTGGGATAAGGGGCAGCATGTGTTTTACCCAATAAAGTAGATCCTCTTCAGTTTGATGATGTCTGTTTCTACATCACCGTACCAGCGCGCTATACCCACATGTAGACCCACATGATCACTATATTGCCATAATGCGCCGTACGGCAACGTAGCACATTGCTACGTTGCCATAGGGCAATGTGTAGATGTGCCCTGTGGTGCTCA